AGGGCTCACATTTTAAGAATAGGGGAGGAAGGAAATAAAATGTTCCTGATGCCCTGATGCTACGAACAAGATACAAGTAGGGGAAAAAAAAAAAAAAAAAAAAAAAAAAAAAAAAAGGAAGCATTATTTATGGCTTGGTGACCTGACTAACAGCTCTACAGCTGGAAATTTAAAAAGAAGAAAAATATCATTGTAGTATTTTTACTTAGAATTCAGGATTTTATTTCAGGTGTTGACTATCAACATCTACAGATAATTCTGTCCTCATTTACACGAAACTTACCTTATGAGATAAAAATCTCATAAAACTTAGCCTCACAGTAAAGGGAAAAGGGAAGTATGAGATATGGTCATAAAAGTCCTTAAGAAAATGCAAGGACTAGAGGGTGTCTATGATCTTTGGTTTCAAATTCAACTCTCAGCAAGAATTCTATCTCAGAGGAAATAATAGATAAATGACAATGGTGTAGCAGTATAAAAAAGCATGATGTCATTACAAAGTTTTGAACCCAGATGATCCAGAAACTTTCTAGCTGTGGAAAATATAATAATAATTTAAATAATCACCATGTTGTATCTCAGAGTAATGACTTCTTCTTTAGAGATATACATTTTATATGTGAACTGAAAGACTGAAAATGATGTGAAAGGAATGACAAGAATCACCTCACAATGTGGTTATGAAAACACGGCACAGAAAATTCATGGATACAGAAAATAGAGAATTTACAGTACCACAAGATAAGCTCACTTCCTAAACAACAACTGACTACTATTTATAAGAAATGGATAAGTAAGATTCTTGGGTGGAAATTCCTTATCATGCAAGTTCACAAAAAAGCTGTTAGTGGAAATATTTCCACCTTAGTGGAAATATTCCAAGCATGATTCTTTGCCATTCCTTATTTCTATCTGTCTACGAGGGAAGTGTGACCTGGACTTCACCACGCAAATGGCAGTATCCATGCAATGGATAATTTCAAACTTATAAAATTCTGAAAAAGATTTATATTCCATCTACAAGTAATTTGGGTTAGAAAGTTTTACCACTATGGCCTATAGGGTTCTGAGATGTCATTGACCTGAGAAAAATAATTGTTTCAGAATCCTTGAAGGAAAGACTAAACCTTGGTAGTTTAGAAGTAGGCAACATTTGTGTTCCAAAAGGAAAATAGGTAAAGAGGGAAACAAGTCAGCTACAGCTGTTGTAAGTGGCCTGACAAAGCTGCTGCATAAACATGCAAGCAAATAGTCTGAAGACTGTTCATGATCATTCTGTAAGGTTAGTCGAGCTCATAACAGTTTCTTGTAGGAAACTGGTTAGCACCTCATGTATCAAAGACTTTTAGCAGCTCTAAAGTACTTGTTCTAAGTAGTAGATCACTCCTAGGTTTCAAAAGGTTGGGAATAAAATCCTACACTTCTACAGCACAAAGTGATAAAAACAAGGATATTTGAAGACACCTCTACCTATTTATGTTTCTGTGTAACTGATTTTATGAGATTATGATAGTAATAAAAATTACCAACCTGAAATTCCAGGCAAGGCTGTACTAGCAAAGCAAATCACAGGCTAAGATTTATTACTCCTGACTATTTTAACACAAATTAATTAAAATTATTTATAGAAGTTCAGTTTTGCTTCCAAGATACTTTTTATTTGTGATCACAATTATGGAGTCACACAGAAAAAAAATCTAACATCTGTTATATACTATCACACAAATACTAGATCTGCTAAAGTTCTGAATAAGCAAGATTTTTTTTTTCAAAGCACTGAGAATAGTTCTTAATATAAAATAGAGAACAATAATATTGTAATTACAACCTCTTCTGATCAGTTAACTGTTTCAGGCTTTCTTTTGTCAACTTTACAATCCATGGTAGGAGCTTTTTATACTATTTTGTCTTACCATCTCTCTTCCAGCTGTACCTAGCATTGTTTAGGCTCCTATCTTGAATATTCACTGCAGCTGTCAGAAGTATTTTTTTCCTTCCTTGTTCTTTCCAGGTGTTTTAAAACATTTTTTGAAAGATACTATTTTTATTTTCAGAACATCAAGAATTTGTAATTTTTTTTGTAATGTTCTATCTCTTCCTCATTTCCTCTGTTTATCCTAATCTTTCCATCTATTATTTCAATAGTAACTCTTGAGCACTCTTGCATATCTGACAGTGCTGAACATTAATAACAGAGTTTTACAAATATGTTTTGTATTTCAGCTCAGAAGTACACAGGTCCTTGACATCTATCATATCAAAAGACCAACATTCATCAACAATAAAGGAAAATTTTTCACACAGTTCCACTCTTTTCTTTGCAGAGCAACTCAAAAGACAATGAAGGGAGGAGACAAAACACTCTAAACAAAAGGCAAGTGTGACTGATATGGTTACTTCAAAAATACAGCGATAAAACTTTAAAGCAATTCAGAAATATTCTCGAAGTGTACAGGTAGCTTTGAACCTTAGTGAAAACACTGATCCTGGAACAAAATTCTGTTCTCCCACAGTTTTACTAGAGTAATTTTATTTCAGATGTATTTTGCATATGACATGGAGTAGGTTTTATTCAGTTGAGAATTTTTTGAGTATCATTTAAAAGTAAAATACAAAAATTATTTTTTTTACTACTGTAAAAAATAAAAATGTGATAATACTATGACTAACACTATCAGCTTCTCTTCTCCCTAACCTTAACAAGTTTTTACAATTTAACCAAGAATAATCAAACTACTATTTATGTTTATTATAGATCAGATTAATGGTGTTGATTCTACCATATTATTAAAGTATAAGGAATTTTAACCTCATCAGCAAACCCATGTGAGCCACAGTTTGTATTTTATATTCTAGTTCCAGAAAGCTTAGTATACAGAACATCACAAAAGCTGCAACTAACTAGAAGAGTGGGACATTCATTTTAGGAAAGAAAATGTCCATTAAGTTAGAGAGGGGAAACAAACCAAACAAACAAAAACATCAAATAAACCACCAGGCTTGAAAACATTTCTTCTAATGAGAAATATCTGCTACTAATAGGTCTGGAATAGAAACAAAAATGTTTCATCTTGTTTCCCATTATTATCTGGAAACAAACTAGGTTCAGAGTCTAGATAACATTGCCTATGATTTGAGTCAAAAAAAATAAATGAGTTTTATCTTGTTTATGTCTCCTGCTACCATGAGGCTCTTCTGTTCTTGACAGTGTCAGAAAAGGCAAATATGCAGGGCAAGATGTGTCTCAAATCCTACTAAAATTACTATTGGAAGAGTGGAAAACACAGAGAGGAAGATGGTTAAAAAATAAACAGCAAAAGTACTAAATTAAAGCTTAAGGGGATTTTATGTAAGATGTAATCAGCAATTAGTATTTGCAGCTGTACAAATGGTTTGGTACCAGTAGACAAGTGAAACATCTTGATTTTATGTTAATTTTTCTTTGCAAATCTCTGTGCTTTTTTCATAACATTGTGTCATTACTTTAGAAGGTTTTGATTAAACCTGTTTCAATGCATTTTCTCTGTATAAAATGATCTACAAATAATAATTGTTTTAAATTTGCAACGTATTTGCATGTGGTCAAATTCTGAAAATGCATTATTGTGTTCAACACAGCCTCAAGTTTGAACCCAGTGTGTTGAACACAAGTATTTATTGAAGATAAAGAACTTCTGTAATACAATGATTCAGCAACTTAAAATTGAAAAGGCAGATCAATAATTTCTTAAAGTACTGTTGTTTTTTTCCTTGTAAACAAAAAAATCTGAATTGGGAACTGCTCCAGTAGTAGCTCTACACTTAGAAATACAAGGGACATTTTACATTAAAAATATACCAACTAAGTTTAGACATGCAAGCTTACCAGTAGGAAAAAGGGGTTTTATGTATTCAGTAGTGTGAAATTAGCACTTCAATTTTTTTCTGAGAACTATAAATATAATTGAAAAAGACCTTCCTAAAAACTGCTAGGAATATTGCCAGCTCAAAAGAGTAGCCACTGTTATTAATCTATCTCCTTTTTGAACAGAAAATGTTATTTAATTTTGTTAACTTGCCATTGTTCTTCTTATCAAGGTACAGTTATACTGATAGAAAGGGGAAACAGAAGATCTACATTATATATATGTATGTATGTATGTATGTATTTACCCCCCACTCTTTTATGACAATTACAACAGATTCCTCAGGAGAATATAAAAGAAAATGAGGGAAATATGTAATAAATGAAACAGCATTTTTACTTTAAGTAGGAAGGCAGTCTGAATATGCTTCTGAATATTTGAAGAAGTCTATAGCATACCCCACTGATAAATACTCATTGCTTCAAGAAATCAAATGAATTCTCAAGTCCTCCTGTAAGTTTGCTTTAGTGACCTCTGGAATAAATGCCCTCTCAGAGTGCTTCATCTAACATACCAGTTTCCACTAGCTCCAAAGGAAGAAAAGAATACTTTCCTCAATACTTCCATCATACTATTTTCTAAGATAACAGTACAACTTTGAAATAGAGAGTGTGATGAATTCATTTATTTATTTGCAAAACCTGCAAAACCTTGAAGCGAGGTCTCAACTGGCAAAAATCATACACTATTTCTTTCCATTAATTCAAACTTGCAAGCAAATCGGTGAAGAAATGTAGAGAGAGAGAAAAAGGCATTAAAAACTTAAAGTAAAACACCCTCTTGTCTTACTTGTGCTGCAAGCTTTAATTCCTGTAGATAGTATTCCCAAAGCCTGCTGGCCAGGGCAATTGACATATGCAGTGTTCTGCAGATGTAGCTGCAGTAACACAGCTGGACATAATGCTCTATGCATCTGGTGCACAGATGTTTGATTGTGTCCTTGGTAGCTAGCCAGATTTTGAATGATCCATTTAGTTCTTGGAGTGAAATTGAAAGAACAAGAGAACAGTCCACTGGTAGCAGTAATAATCCACATTTCTCTAACTGCCTTAACCACTTTCTATATTAGGATGAGCCACAGTCATTTTCTCTTACCTTTTCAAAATTCAGGATCCGGAAGAGACAACTGAGTTGGAATCAAACAGGCAAAAATCAAAGCTCTGCTGAAGTTCTCTGCTATCCCAGAACTCTTGTTTTCAGCCACTTTTCAATAAGAGCTTGATCCAAAACTCCTTGGGAACAATGAAAAAAAATTAATGAGCTTTAGAACCAACCTTGAAGAAAGTCTGAAATGATTACTCAAGCTGAGCAATCTTTGCAGTGCTACCACCGCTAAATTCTGTCAGACACAATTCATCTTTCTTTAAAACGTATGCTCATCTCACCATGCAAATTACCAACATTTTACCAAATTCTTCAAAACGGATCACATTTTGATTTCATGCTGTTTTTACCTACATGATATCATTGGGTTTTGTAGTGAGCTAAACACAGCATTCCAGAAATGTGTAGCCACATTAGAACATAAGGAATACTTCTAATCTTTCTGATAAAAGCCATGGTTCTCAATCTTTGAACAGAATTCAAAATCATGTACAATTTTACACCAAGAAGGAGTAAACATACTTTAAAGAGATACACCTGTCTTTCTGGAAAATTTGTGTGTCTCTTAACATCCATTCTTTATGAACTCAGCAAGGCACCTTATCCATGTGACAATGTTACCACTCCAGTTGCAACTATAGTTCATTTATTAAATAATTAGAATGGTAATGGATATAATAATAATATAATGCTAAAAGATACGTATTTTAAAAGATAGGCACATTGAGAGGAAATTCAAAGTGTAAAATCAAAAAGATGCATTCTCCTGAGAATAAAAGTTATTGCTGCACTATCATTATCAAAAGCACTAAGACAAGAAATATATATATTTTTCATAAGCATGTTATTTTTTATTTACCATACTACAAATACTGGGAAAACAGACATTTCTGGACAACACTGATTTCAACAAAAATATAATTTTGGAAAATAATCGTATTAAATATTTTAAACTATATTTTATTAATACAGCTGGTCTTCTTCCTTACTCCGTAAGCAGTACCAGGATCACTAGTGATATAACAATTACCCTGTTGTTACAAGTTTTTTTCAAGCCTTTGTTTTCTCTTTATATCACATTTCATTGTGTCAAACAAGACAGAAATAAAAGAAACACCATCAAAAAACCTACTCAATAACTAAGTCCTAATGTGAGCTCCGTGCATTCATGGCTCACCTTGAAAACTGCTTCCATTCCTGGCTATTCAGCTACATTGACCAAAAAGAAGAGAAATTTTGTACCTGAAGCAATACAGCTCACACATCTGACCTGTCTTTACTACTTTACTTCATGACCTGTGTGCTGACAGTTGAATGATTAAATTTCGAGTGATCTTGAATTAAAAGACTAGGTGTAGAACTTATCAATATGAGATATATCAGTTTTGATATTCATTCAGCCGTCAGACTTTACAAGCAGCTGAAGAGCATTGTGGTGGTGACTTAAATCCATAAAGTTATATATTTAACAGTCAGGAAAGCAATCCAGATGGGTGCACTGATAAACATACAAGGGGAGTGGGAGTTTGTGCAGAGGCAAATCTTTTCCTTTCCTTCTTGAGAACGTAGGACTGCAGTAATAAACTTATAATTTATTTGAATATATTAAAAACAAACACACAAAAAAAACCTTCAGGCTTTAGGTTAGGTTCTGAAGAAAACATTCCGCCTCTCACAATAAAACTGAACAGATAATTCCATTTGTGCTTCTTTGGTGGCTCTTGCTTAGGTTGCATCATCTAATTCAAACAAATATCTACAGTACAAACTATGAGATACAACATATAAATGAGTGACGACAAGAAAGCTGCAGTAGCACATCAGCAATTTAAATATCCCCCAAGTTTTACCTAACTAATTTGCAAAGATGAAAACTGAAATGTTTTATATACTTCCAGAGTGAGAACTGGCCCCACTGAAACATGCCATTATTTTAACCAGAAAAAGAATTTCACTGCACTAGCAACATAACCCAGTCCACTCGTGGTGCAGAATTCCAGACAATTTTTGCTTTCACCTGTTGCCTACTATTTTGTATTTTTAGTTTACACAAATATTTACATCACAGGTTGTCAACAAGAAAAATTAAAAGTTTCCATACCAGGACAGTATATGCAGGATTTGTTAGTTTGGAAAAAGAGATAGCTGATGATAGAGGTCTATAGAAAAAAGAATTATGTGGAGTACGAGGAGCAAACTATTATTTTCTATTTTATAAAATACGGGAATGAAGGAACACCCCCAGGAAATAATGGGGATAGCAGATTTAAATTAAGTCAGAACACTTTTCCATGCAGTATATAATCATACTGTGAAACTCATTGCCATCTGAGGTTGTAGAGGTCAAAAGAAGAAACATTCAAAAATGGATTTAACAAGTTCATGGAGTATTAGTAGGTCAGGCAGTACTTCTGGCTCAGGGTGTTCCTCGATCACTGATCCTTTTTTTTTGTAGGATTCCACTGTTGGCTGCTCTTGGAGACAGAAGAATGATTAGACAGCCATGAACATAATGCTTTATGGGATTTCTTAGATAATGGTAGAAAGTTATAGGCATATTTTTGATTATTGTTGTCATTTCCTCAGAAGACCAAGAAACCTTTCCCTTTTAGGCATAGCAAATGCCTAAGAAAAAGAGGATGCCCTGAGAGTATTTCACATTATATATATGTGTGTATATATATTTATATATGTATACGTATATACATATATGTATGTACGTATACATATATATACACACACACACATACATTTATAGAACATGATATTGAAAAAATAGTAACAAAAACTTCCTGTAAGTTTTGTCCCACCCCCTCTGCACAAAATATGTCCAATTACTCTAAAATGAGCAACAGCACATTGTTGCAGTCTCCAGATCATTTGAGAGCTTTTCTTTTAAAGGTATGGGAAACCTACCAAAAAACAAAAACAAACAGATTTTCAATCAATACTCTTAACATTCTGGAAGTCTAGAGCATGAAAAGGAAACATCAACTGAATTGTGCTGGAAAATCAGATCTTTTGATTTTCACCATCCACAGTGAACAATACTGACACACAGTAAAAAAAAAAAAAAAAACAGGCCTTTTTTTTTTTAAAAAAAAAAAAAAGTACAAACCTGTGAAACAAGACCTTCCTCATCTCCCTACCACAAATATGTTCACCAAAAAATAAAAAAGCAACAAAACCAAACAGAAAACTACCCAGCCCCCAAACTCTAATCAAAAAACAGTTTCATTGGAGGTTTTGCCTGAAAATTATAAAATATAATACACCTGATTACTTATTTCTTAGACTGACAAATCCTTAGAGGGGAATGTATTTTGAACTTCTGAAGGTGAAAAGCATTAACTTTTCAGGATTACCTTTGGAGCAGTTCACAAAATATAAGAATAGTGATAGCTAATAATAAATATATGTAAAATATTTTAAATTGCTTGAGAAATCTTGATTTGTATTATTATATAAAACATTTTTGTTAATACTAAACTCCAGCATCATTTAATCGTTAGCACTGTATTTTTATGTTGAAGACAAGAAGATTCTATTATACATATTTTAATCTATTATTATAGCATTTAACTACACGATAACCTCTTATGTTTACTAATAGAGGCCATATTGCAGTCTCTGACTTCAGATAGGTCAGCAGATGCTTTTTCAATTTCAGAACACACACTCTTCAAAACATTTCTACATCAAGAATTTAATTCAGATGCTTCTTTACTCCCTGAAACTGTGCCCCATCATGAGCATATATATTCTGTCCTGTAATATTGAAGCATAAGTACTTCAGTCATTTGATACTTTCTTCTTCCATTGATAGCATATCAAATGATATCATGACAGATGTGCCTGAAGCACTAGAAATGTCTTTATTACATCTGCATGTAATCAGTATGGGGAGTAGAAAACATATTTCTCATTCAATACATCAAACATCCAGAAACTGAGGGACAGATGAAGAGCATGGATTTGGTGTGTCTTCTTGCTGTGCCTTTTTTAACCTGTTTGCATTTGAAATCTATGTTATTAGCTTACAGCTGTGTATTGAAGTTGTTCGGCTTTGTTGATTAACAGACTTGAAAACACTGTTGGATGCTCTTAAGATCTCTAGTGAGCTTAAGCCTGTGTAAATACATCCTTCTATGTAGGAAGAATATTAGAACTTTTTAAAATAAGTATTTGCTTAATATAGTTATGCATTTGTTTTCTCATTCCCATAGAAATCTCCAAAATATTTCTGCTTCCTTTGAATTAGCATTTTAGTGTTTTCCAAATTTTTCTTTGAGAGTAGAAACAGGATACTAACTCCTTTCTATTTCCACTCTTTCAGTGGAGTTACTCCAAGGAGCTGTAAGAAGAGTGCAATTGGTGCACAGTGGATTTGGCTCATTTTTTCAACATGTAATCACAATTTCAATACATTTTCATAATTTAAATCTTTAAAATCAGGTTCTTCACTGGCATCCCTTAAACGCGCCAGTTGTCTCTAATTTCCTGGTTTTGTTATAACAGTTTTTGTCAGGTACCTTTGAGGCAAGTCTGAAACAGGTTTAACAGAAACGTATAACAATTAGTTAATTACATCTATTTACATTTGCTCTTTAAAAAATGCCTACCATGAAAAAACACAACTTGATGACAATTTTTCAGTTAAATTCAGGCTAAATTTCAGTTCTTGCTTCTTATCTTCTTTTATTCTTTGTGGTTTTAGCTTTTTTGTTTTTTATTTATTTATTTTTTTTTTAAGAAAAAGTCCAAACCACTTTCAAGACAGATTAACAAGTCATCTAAATTCATCAGGCTAACTCGGAACTAGATCTAGAGTGCATAAATATTAAAAAGAAAAAAGTTAGATCCAAAACCAGATTTGGCTATCAAATTGACACCCCAGTGCCTAAATCCTAGGCCATTTAGTTCCTGTCAACTGTTGCCAAGTGCCTGCGGGGTCAAAAGTCCCTATAATGCCACCACTGTGGCTCTAAATAAGGCCTGTTACTGAGCATATTTATTCTGCCTACACTGTGGCTGTAACGTCTAGGTCTTGTAAGAATTCACCAAGTGGATATTCATCTAGCTACTTGGTTTGTGGGCTTTACTATGTTGGCATTCTCAGAGACTGTCT